TGCAAGGGGAGTTTACAAAAGAAGCTGTCGAGTAAATAAAACAGAATTTTTTCATGCGTCGAACGCTGATGAAAGAAACGCTTGAATAAATTAAATCTATAAATAATTCCACTATCTGATGTGCGTCAGATTGCGGCCTTTATCACGTCGGCTTTTAATTTGCGATAACCTTTGTTCGTGCGATACATGTTTTCGCGGATTTTAATTACATATCGCGCTTCTTTCGCTTTTGATTGTTGTATTGCGCCCGAGATGAATTCGGGATGGGGGGTTGAAATTGGCCGAGTGGGTGGCCGGAACAAAGACGGGATTATTAACGCCCACTTTATGTGCGAATTGCCTGGAGGGGGTTGGAATTGTTGCTAAATTGCCGCCAGGGTGGAATGCGCTGGCTGGAAACGGAAGCAAGAAATGGTTGGGGTTTATTTTGTATAAATATTTGTTGGAGTACGTGGAAAAGGGACACTTTGAGTTTTTTTGTGTACATTTGGGTTTGTACGAAGTCAACAATAGAGGTACTAAAACAATGTAGTCTAAGATTGTTGGTCTTTCTTCTCAGTGAAATTTAACGACGTGGCTAGGAATGAGGGGTAGGAAGGCTCAAATATTCGGGTTAAAACTCAAATTGCCAAATTTTCACAAAATTTGTTACGTTTCATTTTAAGGATTCTCGAAAAGTGCTTGAAATCTTCCAAGAAATGACTCTGAAACTAAATTCTGGAGGTCTAAATCTAGAAGAAAGTGTGTTTGAGCAATTTTCGAAAGTGGTCGGAAAATGGTCGAAAATTTCTTAATGGAAAAATTGAGCTTTTCAAAAAGTTTCCTAAAAATCGCCAAATTCGTTCTTATTCGAAAAATATAGTGTGTTTGTAGTCTCGGCCTGAAATTTCTTTTTTTTTTTAAATTCTAAAAATCGCTATGTAGATATTTTCGAAGAATTATATCCGAAAATATGTTCTAAAAAGACGAAATTTTGTTCTTCCCTTTCGTTTCTCTTCCTTTTTTCTCTCAATCTTTCTCCCTATCCCCCTCCTTCTCTCTCATTGCCATTTTCACACTCACTTTCCTCACATCTGTTCTTCTGTCCTTCTCTAGCCTTATCTCCTCTCTGTCCTTGACGCTTTTTACACTTCTTTCTCCCTCGATTCCGCTTCTGCTCAACATCCCCTTTCCCGTCACTTTCAATTTTTCCCCTACGCCTTCCTTCGTTCCCTCACCCCCCCTGTCTTTCTCTTCTCACTCTTCGATTCCAACTCTCCCTCCGCTCTCTTTCTGATTCCCACTCTCTCTTTGACTTTTTATCTCTCTTATCTTTCTCTGAGTACCACTCTTTCACCTATCCTTCTTTTTCTGACTTCTTCTCTCACATCTCTTTCCCTGATTCTCATACTCTCTCACTATCACACTCTCTCTTCTCTTCTTCCTCTAACACCCATTTTCTCTCTTTCTCTATCTCTTCGAGTCTCTGATTCTCTGCCTATCTCTAACTACCACTAAAGCTCTTGCCAATCTTTCACCACTTCCTTCGTTTCCTCTTTCCTCTCTCTCCCTCTTTCTCTCTTTCTGTCTCCTATTCTTTCTACGCACATTCTCCATTGCACCCCGCTTTATCCCTCTCTATCGTTATCTCCTCTCTGTTTCTCGCAATTTTTACTCTGCTCAAGTTCCCGCTCTTCCTCTCCGTTTTTCGTCATTTTTAATCTTTCCGCTTCTTTTCCCACTCCCTCCTTCTTTTTTACTCCCACTCTCTCTCCTATATCGATTTTTCGAAATCTAAATGTTGGATTTTTTGATTTTGCATATATTTGATTTATCGAATTTACGATTTTCCAATTTTGATTTTTTGATTTTGCATTTTTTCAAGTTCCATTTTTAGAATCTCGTTTTCCGAATTTTTGATTCTTCGATTTTTCGATTTGTCGGTCATTGATTTTTTGAAATCTAGTTTTCGATCTTTCCAATTTTGGAATAAGTATTTGATTAATCGAATTGTTGATTTTCGATTTTTCGAAATGTAGATTTTCGAATTTTGGATTCCGGATTCTTCGATTTGCGATATTTCAATTCTTCGATTTTTCAATATACTCGTTTTCGATTTTTCGAATGTTTTAATTTCCGATTTCTTGATTTTTCAATTTTCCTTTTTACGAATTTCCATTTCTTCGATTTTCGGTTATACGAAATCTCAATATTAGAATTTTTGATTTTCTATTTCTGGTTTTTTGATTTATCGATCGTGGATTTTTAGAAATCTAGATCTTGGATTTTTCGATTTTGCGTATATTTGACTTATAGAATTTTGATTTTTGAATTTTAGATTTTGAATTTTTCATTTTTTCGAAAGCTCGATTTTTAATTTTGTCTATCATCGATTTTTCGAATATTTGATTCATCTAATTTTCTAATTTTTCGAATTTTCAATTTAAAGTTTTCGATTCTTCGAATTTGTGATTTCTTCGATTTTCGATATTTCAATTTTCCGGTTTTTCAATATCCCGTTTTCGATTTTTCAAAATCTCTTTTTTCGGTTTTTCAATAATTTGGTTTCTGGATTTTCCAGTTTCCGATTTTTTGAAATCTCGAATTTCGACTTTTGGAATTTTTTAATTTTCGATTTCTCGATTTTTCGATTCTCGTTTTTTCGAATTTCCAATTCCTCGATTTTCGATTGTTCGAATTTTTAATATTAGAATTTTAGATTTTCAGTTTTCGATATTTCGGTTTCAGATTTTTTGATTTATTGATCATGGGTTTTTCGAAATCTAGATCTTAGATTTTTCGATTTTGCGCATTTTTGACTTGTAGAATTTTGGATTTTCGATTTTTGATTTTTAGATTTTGGATTATTCAATTTTTCGAAATCTCGATTTTCGAGTCTTCGATGTCTTGATTTTCGATTTACCTATCATCAATTTTTCGAAATCTAAATTTTCGATTTTTCGAATATTTCATTCATTTAATTTTCTAATTTTTCGAATTTTCAATTTAAACTTTTCGATTCTTCGAATTTTTGATTTCTTCGATTTTCGATATTTCAATTTTCCGACTTTTCAATATTCCTGTTTTCGATTTTTCAAAATCTCTTTTTTCGATTTTTCAATATTTTGATTTCTCGATTTACCAGTTTTCGATTTTTTGAAATTTCGAATTTCGACTTCTCGAATTTTTTAATTTTCGATTTCTCGATTTTTCGATTCTCGTTTTTTCGAATTTCCAATTCCTCGATTTTCGATTGTTCGAATTTTTTATATTAGAATTTTAGATTTTCAGTTTTCGATATTTCGGTTTCAGATTTTTTGATTTATTGATCATGGGTTTTTCGAAATCTAGATCTTAGATTTTTCGATTTTGCGCATTTTTGACTTGTAAAATTTTGGATTTTCGGTTTTTGATTTTTAGATTTTGGATTATTCAATTTTTCGAAATCTCGATTTTCGAGTCTTCGATGTCTTGATTTTCGATTTATCTATCATCAATTTTTCGAAATCTAAATTTTCGATTTTTCGAATATTTCATTCATTTAATTTTCTAATTTTTCGCATTTTCAATTTAAACTTTTCGATTCTTCGAATTTGTGATTTCTTCGATTTTCGATATTTCAATTTTCCGGTTTTTCAATATCCCGTTTTCGATTTTTCAAAATCTCTTTTTTCGGTTTTTCAATAATTTGGTTTCTCGATTTTCCAGTTTCCGATTTTTTGAAATCTCGAATTTCGACTTTTGGAATTTTTTAATTTTCGATTTCTCGATTTTTCGATTCTCGTTTTTTCGAATTTCCAAGTCCTCGATTTTCGATTGTTCGAAATCTCAATATTAGAATTTTAGATTTTCAGTTTTCGATATTTCGGTTTCTGATTTTTTGATTTATCGATCAATTTTTCGAAATCTAAATCTTAGATTTTTCGATTTTGCGCATATTTGACATATAGAATTTTGGGTTTCCGATTTTTGATTTTTAGATTTTGGATTTTTCAAGTTTTCGAAATCTCGATTTTCGAATCTTCGACTTTTTGATTTTCGATTTGCCCATCATCGATTTTTCGAAAGCTAAATTTTCGATTTTTTGAATATTTGATTCATCTAATTTTCTAATTTTTCGAATTTTCAATTTTAAGTTTTCGATTCTTCGAAATTCCGATTTGTTCGATTTTGAATCTTTTGAATTTACGATTTTAGATCCTTCCAATTTTCAATTTTCGATTTTTCGTTTTTTCAATTTTTCGAATATTTAATACATCAAATTTTCGATCTTTCGCTTTTCAACTTATCTTTCTCTAATTTCTATTCTGTCTCCGACTCCTACACTCTCTTCTTTCTTTTTTCTCTGGTTCCCATTCTCCATTTTTCTTTCTCTCTCTTGCTCCATTCTCTTTATTTTCTCTTTTCTCCACCCACATTCTTCTGTCGCTCCCGCTCTGACCCCATGACTACCACTTGCTCTCCTATCTGTCTTTCTATGACTTCTTCTCTTTCTTCTCTCCCTCTGATTCCCTCTTTCACTCTCTCTCGTTTTTCTCTGATTCCCATTTTTTCTCCTCTCTCTTTCTCTCTCTCTAAGACTCCCACTCTTTCTTCTATCTGCCTTTCCCTGACTTCTTCTCTCTCTTCTCTCTCTGTGATCCCCATGCTTTCCTCATTCGCCCTCTCTTTCTCTCCCTCTCTCCCTCTCCTCCTTCCAATTTTCAATTTTCGATGTTTCGATTTTTCAATTTTTCGAATATTTGATACATCAAATTTTCGATCGTCGATTTTTCGATCTTTCGCTTTTCAACTTATCTTTCTCTAATTTCTTTTCTCTCTCCCACTCGTACACTCCCTCCTTTCTTTTTTCTCCGGTTCCCATTCTCCACCTTTCTTTCTCTCTCTTTCTCTTGTCTCCACCCACATTCTTCTGTTGCTCCCGCTCTGACCCCATGACCACCACTTTCTCTCCCATCTGACTTTCTATGACTACTTCTCTTTCTTTTCTCTCTCTCTCTCTAAGATTCCCACTCTTTCTTCTATCTGCCTTTCCCTGACTTCTTCTCTCTCTTCTCTCTCTTTGATTCCCATGCTTTCCTCATTTCCCTCTCTTTTTCTCCCCTCCCTTTCTTTTCTCTCCTCTTTTCTGATTCCCAATAACTCCACTCCCTTGTGTCTGTCTTTCTCTGACTTTTTTGCTCTCTTCTCTCTCTTCTCTCTCTCTCTGACTTTTTTGCTCTCTTCTCTCTCTTCTCTCTCTCTCTCGCTCTCTCTCTGATTCCCTCACTCACTCTCCCTCTCTCTTTTTCTACTGATTCCAATTCTCCCTCCTCTCTCTGTGTGTCTCTCTTTCTGACTTCCATTCTCTTTCCCATCTCTTTTTCTTTTCCTCTCTCTTGGACTCCAACTCTCCTTCCCCGATCTTTCTGATTCCCAATCTCTCTTTGACTATTTATCTCTCTTCTCTCTCTCCCCCTCACTCTCGCATTCTCTCTTTCCGCCCTGACTCCCATTCTCTCTGGACGATTCTCTCTCATTTCGTACTCTTGTTTATTCCGTTCTATTCTTTTCCTCTACATGTGTGTCTATTTGCCTTTTTTATGGCATCCCCTCCTTCATTTTCCCTTTCCTATCTCTCGATGCCCGCTCCCTCTCTTCTCTCTCTGACTCTCACCCTTTTCTCCTATCTGTCCTTCTCAGACTTTTACTCTCTCTTTTCTTTCTCTGAGTACCACTATTTCTCCTATCCTTCTTTTTCTGACTTCTTCTCTCACATCTCATTCCCTGATTCTCATGCTCCCTCACTACCACACGCTCTCTTTCTCTATCTCTCAGACTCCCACTCTCTTCAAGTCTCTCTGATTCTCTGCCTATCTCTGACTGCCACTTTAGCTTCTGCACAATGTCCTGCTCTTCCTCTTCCTTTCTTTATTCTTACCTTCCTCTCTCTCTGTTTCTCTCTTTCTCCCACACTCATTCCTTCTGACTTTTTCTCTACTCACATTCTCTCTTTTATCCCGTTTTATTCCTCGCTATCGTCATCTCCTCCCAGTTTCGCACCCTTTGTACTCTTCTTTTTCCAATTTTCAATTTTCGATTTTTCGATTTTCAATTTTTCGTTTTTTTTTGATTTTCCGATTTTTTACTTTTCCAGTTTCAATTGTTTGAATATTTGGTGTATCAAATTTTCGATTTTTCGATTTCTATTCTCTCTCTTTATTTTCTCTTTACTAAATCCACATTCTTCTATCTCTCCCTCTCTGACTACCATGACTACTACTTTCTCTCTTCTCTCTATCTAATTCAATCATTCACAATCTCTTTTTTCTCTGATTTCCATTTTTTCTCCTCTCTGTATCTCTATCTCTGACTCTCACTCTTTTTTTCATCTTCCTTTCCCTGACTTCTTCTCTCGCTTTGATTCCAGATTCCCACGCTTTCCTCTCTCTCCTTTCTTTCTTTCTTTCTTTCTTTCTTTCTTTCTTTCTTTCTTTCTTTCTTTCTTTCTTTCTTTCTTTCTTTCTTTCTTTCTTTCTTTCTTTCTTTCTTTCTTTCTTTCTTTCTTTTCTCTCCTTTCCCTCCCTGTCTCTCCTTCCATGATTCCCAATGACTCCATTCCCTCATTCTCCCCATTTTCAGATCAGTCTTCAGTCGCACCTCTGTCATTACGTACGACACATGGTTAAATTGTTTCGTTATTTTATTGATTATAAATCACTATTCAAGAATAACAATAACACAATACTTTTATTATATTAAATTATTACAAAACTGAAACTCTATACACAATAAAATAGTTTCCCTTGAAGAGCACCACCCTCTCGAGCGCGAAGAATCCGCCCAATAAACCAATTTGCTCTTCGACTTTAACCTCTGCAACGTTTCCGTTAATGTTTCGTAAATACCTGCCCCAGTCCGAAATAAAACGTATCTCAATAAGCGCCGAGAATTCCCCGTTTAATCGAAACCGCACGACCCGAAAGCGATAAATTGAATCCGGCCGGGGCCAAACGCGGGCCAATTAAGTGGCGCATTGCAGATTTTCGCGATTTTTTCCACAGTTATGCAAATGACAGCGAAGAGCCCGAAAGGCTGACTTTAATTAACAAGTTTTCATAGACGGGACGTCGAGTGGAAAAGTTAAGCTTTCAATGGAGGAGGGGCTCGAATTTGCACCATAATACAAAGCGATCTATTCAGAGCGCGCCGAAGGTGGCCGAGGCTCTTTGTAGCTTTGTGTGGTGTTTAGGGCTCGTGTGGGGGTGTACTACGCGTTTTTGGGGTTGTTGTGACAGGTGAAATGAGGGGGTGGTTTTATTTTGTGGCGGATTGAGTGCGGGGTTTATGGCAGTTTTTATGAGGGGTAGTTGAAATGGTGAAAGTTTGGTAACGGATCGCCAAGAATAAAATCTGCTGAGAAAAACCGATTTGTTCGGGGGATGCTATTATTTAAATTTTAATTGAGCTTTTTCGCGGAGTTTTTAGTTTCCAAGGGGACGCTGCACTGAAAAAAGTCGTCGTGAATTCACAAATCTAATACATCATTTTTCAGGTGAATTTTACAAGAAATCTAATGCGATATTTAATTTCTTTGTAATATTACAAAAAACGCAGAACTTTTGCCGTACTTACGGTAAATTTCCTTTTGATAAGGTAATTTTAATTAATTTATGTACAATTGATCAGTAAATATACAATAAAGAATGTAATATTTCCATCAAATTGGTAAATTTACCTTGGCCAGTTGTAAATAAAGAGCAACGTTGTGAATTCGCATCGAAACCAGTATATTTACAACGTGTATGTAATTTTTTCTGCTTGCGTGCGCATATTCGGTTAAAGTGACGCATTATTACTTGTGTTGTCTGGACAAACGTGTGGTCTCCTCGTGTACAGGTAAGTCTAAACTTCATACCCGCCATACTGATTTGCATTATTTGTAATTGAAGATTTGAAGATGTTTACTTGTGATATTTGTAAAATGAATCTTAAATCGATAGAGAAATATCAAATACATCAAAAGTTTCATCGCAACATGACTGGAGTTAGATTTAAATGCCTACAGATTGGTTGCACTTTAAATTTTAAGTCATATAATCGTTTTAAATTTCATGTATACAGAAAACATAATTATCCTAGAAATCAACAAAAACGTTTAACTTCTCAAATATCTTATAGCTGTAATGTGATCAAATGTGATTACAAAAACGATGTTAAAAAAGAGTTTGTTGCTCATGTAAATAAGCACATTGAAAGAGGGGTTACAATAAAATGTCCACTGTCAAGCGAATGTAATTCTGTATTTTCCAGAGTTACGATTTTCAAGCAACATATCTTTAGGAAACATTTTTTGAAGTCATCCCTGAAAAACGAATGTGAATATGAAGACACCCAGTCAGATATTAATTTGCCATCAACTAGTAAAAGTATAACGACAAATATAGAGTATGTTGAAGAAAAAACACATGATAGCGATGATTTGTCACAATGTTTTACTGAAAATTTGGAAGAGGTCAGTTTAAAATTACTCAGTTCATTGTACTTAACATTAGAATCAAAATTTTTTCTGTCAAATAAATCTTTACAATTATTAATCAACGGACTCTCTGATGTTAACGATCTAAACACAAATTTTATCATTAAAAATTTACAAGCTTCTAACTTCGAAGTTGAGAAAAAAATTATTGAAAATAATTTGTTTAACCTAGCTCACAATTCTAAAGGCGGTAAGCTAAGAAGTAAGTTTTGTAGAAGCAAGTATTATAAGAAATATTTTAATTACGTAAGTCCTGTGTGCGTTGAATTAAATCAAAATTCGAAATATTTTTATGTGCCCATAATAGAAACAATCACAGAATTAATGAAAACAGAATCGTTTTATAAACAGTTTCATAATAAAAAAAAACGTTTCACTAAATACTGATGTTTTTTCAGATATTCAGGATGGAAGTTGCTTCAGAAATAATATTTTTTTTAAAGAAAATGTTGAAGCCGTTCAAATTATTTTATATCAGGATACTTTTGAAATATGTAATCCTTTAGGTGCTTCCAAAAAAAAACATAAAATTATAGGCCTTTATGCTATATTTACAAATCTCCCTACTTGGCACCGATCTCAAGTTGAACATATTCAACTACTTGCATTAATTTATGAAAAAGATGTAAAACAATTTGGATTTGCAATGGTTTTAAAAAATCTACTTCAGCACTTGAAAAAACTTGAAGAAGGTGTTAATATCCAGATATCATGCTCTGAAGTTAAATGTTTAAAAGGAGCACTGGTAGCTGTAGTTGGTGATAATCTTGGCAGTCACCAAATTGGCGGCTACAATGAAAACTTTAGTTTATCTGGATTTTTTTGTAGATATTGTTATATTAACAAAGTAAACAAAAATGACGGTTTAACAAAAATATGTGAACGTCGAACAAAAAATTCCTATATTTACGATGTTAATATGAGTTTAGCAACTAATGGATCTTATAGAGGTGTAAAATCTGATTCTGTTTTTAATACATTAAGCTTTTTTCATGTCGCTAATCCTGGTTTACCACCATGTATTGCACATGATCTTTTCGAAGGAGTTGTACAATCCGATTTAATATTAACTCTTGATCAGTTGGTTAATGCTAAAGAAATATGTTTCCAAGAATTAAATTCTACATTAAAAGTCTTAAAATTTGAAGGAGAAAAAAAAGTCGATATACCACTGCTAAAAAAATCCGAGAGACTTTCAGGTACAGCTCATCAAAATATGTGGTTAATAATAATATTGCCGTTTGCACTAGAAAATAAAACATTAACAAATAATAAAGCATGGAATGCTATTTTAATTCTTAGGAAAATAGTTCTGTTTTTATTAAGTTACAAAGTCTCAGTGGGTCAGATAGCTTATTTAAAAGAGTTAATAATAGATTATTTACATAAACGCAAAGAAGTACTACCACAAGAATCTTTAAAACCAAAACATCATTATTTATTGCATTATCCACAACTGATACTACAATTTGGGCCATTGAGATATCTATGGACCATGAGGTTTGAAAGTAAGCATCAGTACTTTAAACGAATTGTCAAACATTCAACGAATTATAAAAATGTTTTATATTCTCTTTCTCATAAACACCAATTGTTACAGGCTCTGTTGTATTCACAAAATACTTTGTTCAGCACCAAAGTAATAGCAGATGAATCCCAAATCTACAATTCGAATAATTATCTGCCGACTCTATCCACTAAAATTGAAGGTGCTTTTAAAACTACAAAATGTTTTGTATCTTCAAAAGTCATATTTAGAGGAATTACTTACCAAAAACATGCCGTAGTTTGTTTTGGTGTTGACGATTATGGTGCATATAAATTATGTTCGATTCAATACATAGTTATTGATGAATTTTTTGATAACATTTGTTTCATTGGAACTACATTAAAAATAACATATGATTGTGAAATAGGTTTGTATTACAACACTGATTCTAATTTTAAAAATCAAAATTTGTCAGTTGTAAATTATGATAGCTTAATTCATCCAGAACCATTGCTCCAAAAAACCGAAAGTAACAAAAAAACTGTGTATAGTTTTAAGTCAGAACCATTCGAGAATTTGTAAGTTGTGTAAGTTTTAAGTTTTTATTTAGGAGTATTAATTTTATTTCGAAGTCTGAACATTTGTTTGTCTTTATTTTAGCATAGCAATTTTAACAGTATAATATGTTACTTAAATTTACCCATAACCATCATTGCTCAGAAAGAATACAGTAGGTAACAAAAGAACTGTAGGTAATTGTTGTAAGTATGAATCATAAGAAAATTTGTGAGTTATTCTTTAAGTGTTCCTTTATCATATTATTAGCATAATAGTTTTAACAATGTAATCAATTATTAAAATATAAAAAAAAAAATTCTAATATTTTATATTTTAATAATTTAATAATTTATGTTTAGCAATAAACTGGGTGTTGTGTTTTGTTTAGGATGCATTTATTCAAAGTATGGGACCAAACACGTACAAAGAAGGGACTAATCTTAATAAAAGAACCTGGAAATGTTTACGTTGATTTAATATTAAAAGGTAAGTTATAAATATTATTTTATATTCAGACATCATTGTCTTTTTTCAGCATCTCAAAAACTTGAAATTAATGGCGCGACTGTTGTACTAGAATCAGATGGAACACCAGTTGAGGAAGAGGAAATATTAATTGCTGTAAAACATGAAACTTTAATTTTGTTAGAACCGGGTCAAGTTTGGTTGTCGTCTCAATCCCAGTGTGAAATAAGTGAATCATCCAGTGGTCTCAATAATCATTCTTTCATGTCACTGACTTCAACAGAGACTATTGCTTCCACTAAAAGTAACGAATGTATCAGTGGTGCAACGGAATTTTTGAATAATGACTCGTCTTCTTTGGATTGCACCATACAAGCATCTAATTGCAATTTAGAATTTTCCTGGACCAATTTTGTAATACCTTGGGAGAAAATTCCACAAGATATGCTCCAATGTTGTGCCCAAGGCAAACGGGACAAATATGCTATTACTGAAATTGTCCACATTGTTGTAAACGAAATGAAACAAATCAGTGAATCGATTCCGTCAAAAGCTTTTAAAATCGTTTCTTTTAAAATGGTCGATAAATATCCCGCAACCTTTAGAGATTACGACGATGATGGTGTGGTTCTGGGAGATGGTACTGCTAGTTTAAAAACAAAATTGCAAGAACGGTACCATTACCTAAAAAGGCCGCATAAACGGCCGGTATTCACATCACCTGAAACACCACTACATCTTGCCAAAATTAAGAAAAACGCAACGGCAGGATGCGCCCAATGGGCACCACCTTATCAAAAAGCTGGCGCTGCAGCTAAAAACAAATTAAATACCTTCTTAGATGATGCTTCAGACGAGTTTTTCCACCTTTTGGAAGAAACTTTTGCAGAACAAAGGGCGTTCATCAACAATGTCGATCCTCCAAGTATCACTAACATAAAAGACCAATGGCCCGTCCTTTTTAAAGTAGAAGCCATAAAATGGCATTTTAACAAAGTTACGAACGGAAACATAAGCAATCTTACAACGAATTTACAATTAAAAGCAGAAAAAATTGTAAATTTTGGCTTACAACATAAAATTATCATCAGCAAAGACGTAAGACGGGATTCGGCAGAAATAATTGCTTTAGAAGTGTTTGCAAGATATTTCCAGGAAAATATCTATGGGGCCTTTTACCTCAAATTTCAGGTATACAATGTCTTTGTCAGCGATTAATTATTGTTTATTATCGTGTTCTTTAATATTTTAGGATGAAGCTATGATTGAAATTACACAAAACGAACCGTGCATTATCAACTGTAAGCGTAAAAAAAATTCTGCAATCTGATACTTTTTACATACGAGTTTCAATTTTAGGTACTGTCGAAAATCAGTTCTATATATATATGGAAAAAGAAAGGGTGGTACAGTGCAAAGACTTTTTTCAAGCTTTAGAATGTTGCTTTTCTTTGTACTTTATTTTTAATTTACACTACCCGAAGGAGACGTCCACATTTCTCGAAATGATTCAGAGATATTTTTTAAAAATCCATCCCGACAGTGGAAGCAAATCGCGCAAGTTATCAGCCTCCAAAAAAAAGGTGCTCAGTCTCATGAGGAAGTTAAGAGACATTTAGACAGATATATGTTACTTATAGGTTAGTTAAGTTTAGTTAAGTTTAGATATAGGTATGTTTTCTATTAATGTTTTTTTATTTTGATATTTTGTCATATTTACAATAAATGTTTACACAATTTTTTGTGCTTTTTTACACTAAACAAGAATAAAAATAATAATAATAATAATAATAACAATAACATATGGTATATATACAAAACAACCTAAATTTTACTGTTTTTATTGTAAAAATACATTACAAACAGAATAGTAAACTTACCAAATAATTTACAAAACTGTTGTAAAATTACTTTTTATTTTTCACAGTGACAAGTAATTTTTAAATTAGCATTGTAAATTTACAGCATTTATCAGGGCAACCGGTAACCAACGATAATTACTGTAAATTTACAATTTTACTTTTTTCAGTGTGGGGTCGTTTTGACGAATCTTCTTCCAACAGACTAAAAATTTATTACTACATACTTAAAAATGCTCTCATTGCCCCTATTTCTCTATATTTAGCCAAACGCCGTGCCATTCTCTGAATAATTAATAAAACCTTAATTAATACAAAGTCTTAATTAATTTACTCATTACCCCACCAAAAACTGTAGCGTTAATAAAAGCCCACCCACGTCCAAATGTCGCTCGTCAATTACTATGAATTAATAAAAACCCCCTAAGAACCTCCACCTCGACACCTTAATTTCGTCCCACAAACAACCCTCACGCAAAATGACTCAACTCTCGGGGGTCGCCCCACTCAAAACTAACTGTGTGTTAACAACATTAATACCACAGTATAACACAAGTTCGAGTCCAACACCCCCCAACGAAAGTACGAAACCACGAAACCCAATTTATCTTGTTAGCTGCCACTATCACAAAGCTTTGATCAGTTCCTCACCTTTCCTCGGACAAATAGCGCGAAATCGTATGCCCTAATACAGTCGAGAATGTGATTAAACCGGAACTAATTACTTAATGTAATTAAATGAACCGGCCCGTAATCAGGGCTTTAATTGCCGACCGGCGATGTTTACGTTGACGTAACGCGATTAAAGACGCGCCAGGTGGGCTTAATAGGGAAAGAATAGAGATTTTTTTTCTCAAGGGGAAAAAAGTTCAATGGAGACGACGGACTCGGTAAGCCCATAATGCCGTTTGCCAATTTGTCAAACTCATGGAAATCATTTTTTTGTTAACGTGAAGCCGGCATGGAGCTGGAAGATTAAATTTGTTTCTGGTTTTGACGTTTCTTTGTTCGATTAATTGACGGAGCGGCCGGGGCTTTATCAGTCGGGATGAGGGTGGGGGTTATTGTTGAGGTAACGCGACCATGAGGACGATTTTTGACAGGAAGAATACTGTTTTAAGGGGGGCGTCTGCTGTATTCGTGCTCTTGGGAAATGGGTTTTGTTTCAAAACAATGTTGAAAGTGAGGACACATTTTTATGAACATCAAATATGTTCTTGTGGCCATAATCCTGCGAAGAAATACCATAAAAAAATAAAATTGTTGTCTTTTTCTCCATAATCATAAAATTTTTGTCCAATGATTTAAATTTTTTAACCACAAAATGTCAAGTTTACTAATTTTATTGGATAAAAATAATAAGAATTAAGCATTAATCTATTGCATTTTTTGTTTAAGTTTCTCGAGTCTTTAATTTTTCAATTTTTCGTTTCGATTTTTCAGAGTTCTCAAATTATATTTTGTTTCAATTTTAATTTTTGGATGTTTCGTTTTTAAATTTCCCAATTTTTTGATATAAAATTTCACGAGTTTTCATTTTTTCGATTCTTTAAATTTCCATTTCTTCAAATTTTCGATTTGCAACTTTTAGATTTTTTTTATTTTTCACTTTTTCAATTTCAGATTTTTCAGTTTCTCGACTTTTTGATTTTTCGTTTCTTCGATTTGCAAACTATCTAGTTTTCGTTTTAGATATGTATCTAATAATAATTATAATTTGTAAAGTTTTTCAATCATGGATTTTACAACTTTTTCGTTTATCGATTTTTCAATTTTTCCATTTTTAATTGTTCAATTCCTCGATATATATTTAGTTTTTTAATTTTTCTGATCTTTCAATGTCACAGCTCTTGAATTTTACAATTTTGACGATTCCAAATTTTTTTTATTTTATTATATAATTATTATAGTTTTTCTACTTATAACTTATAAGTTTCTCAATTTTTCAATTTGCAATTTTTCTAATTTTCATTTTAAACGTGCATCTAGTAATAATTATTATAATTTGCAAAATTTTCCAGTTATTGGATTTTAAAACTTTTGACTTTTTTTGGTTTTTCAATTTTTCCATTTTTAATTTTTCATTTTCTCGATACACATTAATTTTTTTAATATTCCGCTCTTTCGGTCTTACAGTTTTTGAATTTTGTCATTCTGACGATTCTATAATTTTCCGATTTTTAAGTTTCTCTATTTTTCAATTTTCCTGTTTCAATTTTAATGTTTTCTATCTGTCGGTTTAAAATTTTTCAATTTTCCATTTTTTTGTTTTTTTAATTTTACAGATTTTCCAATTTTTCGATTCTTTAATTTTTCTTTTGTTTGAATTTTTGATTTGACACGTTTAGATTTTTTAATTTTTCATTTTTTCAATTTTAGATTTTTCAGTTACTACTAGTTTTCGTTTTAGATATGTATCTAATAATAGTTATAATTTGCAAATTTTTTCAATTATTGGAATTTACAACTTTTTCGTTTATTCCATTTTCCAGTTTTTCCATTTTTAATATTTCAGTTTCTCGATACATATTTAATTTTTTAATTTGCCGATCATTCAATGTTACAGTTTTTGAATTTTACAATTTTAACGGTTCTATAATTTTTCGATTTTACAATTTTTGGGTTAACGATCCTTCAGAACTTAATTTTTCACTTTTCGTTTCGATTTCAATTTTTCGGTTTGGAATTTTTCAGTTTTTCATCATTTTTTGTTTCTTTAAATTTTAGATTTCCTAATTCTTCGATTTAAAATTTTTTGAGTTTTCATTTTTCGATTCTTCAATTTTTCATTTCTTCAAAATTTCGATTTGCAACTTAGATTTCAATTTCAATTTTTCAATTTGCAACTATTATAATTTGTAAAATTTTCCAGTTATTGAATTTGAAAACTTTTGACTTTATTCGGTTTTTCAATTTTTCCATTTTTAATTTTTCATTTTCTGGATATATATTATTTTTTTAAATTTTCCGATCTTCCGGTCTTACAGTTTTTTAATTTTTCGTTTCTTCAATTTGAGTTTTTCTAATTTTCATTTTAAATGTGTATCTAGTAATATTTATAATTTAAAAAAAAAATTATTGGATATTAAACTTATCATTTATTCGATTTTTCAATTTTTCAATTTCTCCATACATATTTATTTTTTTAATTTTCTGATCTTCAGTGTTACAGTTTTTGAGTTTTGTCATTCTGACGATTCTATAATTTTCCGATTTTTAAGTTCCTCTATTATTCAATTTTTCCTTTCAATTTTTTTTATTTTTTTAATTATGCTATTTTTCAGTTTTTCCAATTTATGTATTTTTTTCAATCTTCCGGTTTGGAATTTTTCAATTTTCCATTTTTTTGTTTTTTTAATTTTATAGATTTTCCAATTTTTCGATTCTTTGATTTTTCTATTCTTTGAATTTTTGTTTTGAAACGTTTAGATTTTTTAGTTTCCGTTTTTTTAATTTAAAATTTTTCATTTTCCCCATTTTTTAATTTTTCGTTTCTTGAATTTGAGTTTTTCTAATTTTCATTTTAAATGTGTATCTAGTAAAAATAATTAGGTATATCTTTATTTTTTCAATTATCCGATTATTCAGTGTTCCCAATTTATAATTTTTGTATTTCAATTTTTTTTTTATTTTTCGCTTATTCATTTTTTTTTGTTTCTTTAGTATTTAGATTTCCCAATTTTTCGATTTAAATCTTCTCGGGTTTTCGATTTTTCGATTCTTTAATTTTTCTCTTCTTTACATTTTCAATTTGAAGCTTTTAAATTTTTTATTTTCCGTTTTTTAATTTTTTATTTTTCAATTTTTCGTTTCTTCCATTTGCAATTTTTCGAATTTTCATTTAAAATATGTCCTCGTATCTAATAATAATTATAATTTAATTTTTTTTATTGGATTTTAAAAGTTTCATTTATTCGATTTTACAATTTTTCCAATTTTAATTTTTCAATGTCTCGATACATATTTAATTTTTGATTTTCAGATCTTTCATGTTACATTTTTTGAATTTTACAATTTTTACGATTCTATAATTTTGCGATTTTATAAGTTTTGGGTTTTCGATTTGAATCGTTTTTTTTTCTTTCCAATTTTCGGATTCAGTAATTTTTTCGATTTTTCAATTTTTAATTTTTTAATTTTTTGCCTTGGTTTTTTAAAAATCGAATAATTGAAAAAATAAAGAAATGTTTTCAAATATTCGATTTTTCAGACTTCTCAGTCCATAATTTTTTGTATTTCAATTTTAATTTTTTCAATTTTTTATTCAATTTTTCGGTTTGCGATTTTTCAAAATTATAGTCTTTTTTGTTTTTTCAATTTTTTATTTCCCAATTTGTCAATTTAAAATTCCTCTAGTTTTTTAATTTTTCTTATTTTTCCATTTTTAATTTTCGGTTCTATTCACTATATAATTTTTCAACTTCTTACTTCTTTCAAAATTATAAAAATGAAAAATCTAAAATTGAAGATTTTTTTTTACTTTCCTTATTTCTTCAATTATTCGGCTTTTCAATCCCTCAGTTTCAATTTTAATTTCGTTCCGTCAATTTTTTAATTTGCGATTTTTCAGTTTTTCATTTTCCTGTTTCTTAAATTTTTAGATTTTACAATATTTCGAATCAAAATTTATCGAGTTTTCAATTTTTAATTTTTCGATTTTTTGATTTTTCAGTTTTTCATTTTTTCAAATTTCCGATTTACAATTTTTGTGTCAGGTTTTTTTTTATTTTTCCAATTTTTGTTT